AAAGAGATCCAAAGGGAGACCTGAATTCCTCTCCATAAATCGCCCATGTTAAGATACGCCAGCTACCAGAAAGGTTTTCCATAAGGCCTCAACCCCATTTTTATTTTGTTCTTGAATGTGCATCCCACAGCGAGAATGATACTTAAGGGAGAAGGACTTTGCAAGTTGCACGTGTCTCCCTTTTTATGCTCCTATTATCATCACAAGCAACTATCTTCTTCAACATATTTTACTTGTGTATTTTTTAAAAATAATAATTTAAGAAAGAGGAGGATGTGGGCTACTCTCCGGAGTGTCTGTCATGCCCTTCAAGCTGACTTTGAAAGGCGATTAATTGCAGTGGTGTCTGTTCAAGTTTCAAAAGTTCGAATTAAATGTACTTCAAACTCTTATTAAAGGGAATCTATTTTCCACACCTGTCACTTGTGAGAAGAGCTGATTCAAGTCAAAATCACGAAAGAGGGAATGCTAATCATTAGCACTGACACGCCCTACTCTGTTGAATGAAAGAATCTTCTAATAACCTTTGAGTGGCCCTGTCTTAAGCACTCGGTGCCTAATTCTCCACGAGTTCTGTGCGTTCAGAATTGATGTAATTCAAAGGTGGAAAGGACTTGAGAGCTAAGAGGCCCAGGGCCATGAGGGGCCGCCGAGTCCTCAGGGAGAGGAGATAGCGAATGCCCCAGGGTGAGTCCACTACTTTATTTGTTAGAGCACGAGTTGGCAAATGACGTCAAGGGCCAAAAGCAGCTCCATGCCTGTTTTTGTAGATAAAGTTTTATTGGAACCCAGCCTCACCCATTCATTTACATATCCTCTATGGCTGCTTTCACTCCATAGCCGCGGACCCGAGTAGTTGCCACGGAGACAGTATGTCCTGCAAAACCCCCAAATAATTCACTCTCTGACTTTTATAGAAAAGGTGCCGCGTCCCGTGTCTCCGGCAGCCAATCCCGGCTACGCTTGAGAATCACTTCAAACGACAGTATAGGGTGCTGGGCCACACTCTGGACCTTCTCATCCCCCATCTTTCAGAAGGGGATCCAGGCAGGAGTCAGCATTTGGAAACAAGGCGATTTTAATGCTCTGCCAGGTTAAGAATCACTGCATTACATCATGCTGCCTCTTAAAGCACATTACCTTGAAAACACACTTCAGGTTGTAAGTGCATTTTCATATGGGCTAGGGGACTGGATAAAGCCCTCCCGAGCTTCGCTCCACAAACCTTTACCAGCATCAAGAGTCCCCGGGAGGGCCTGTTAGAACTTACTGCTGGCCCCACGCCCAGAGATGCTGATGAGGAGGCCCGCGGGGTAGGGCTGGAAAACAGACATTTCTAAGCAGCTCGCAGGTGGTGCCGACGCTGCAGACCCATGACCGCTCTGTGGCGCACTGACTTCCATCGAAAGGGCTCGTACCTCTAAAGAAAGTCAAGTCCTGGGAGCCACGGGATGGGGTCGGGGATAGACTTATGGGCCGACGGCTGGGCGTGTTGCAGCCCACACTGTGAAGAGCCTCCCTCCTCTGCTCCAATGCCCCTTGTCCTCACCTCCTTCACCCGCTCTAGACAACTCGGAATCAAGCCATTCTGGTTGAGGATCGCTACTCCTGTATAGGTTTTCTTTATTGTGTTTTTTAAATTTCCTAGGGACTCTTTTGGGGCTTGCTTACTAACTGTACTTTGGAACGGAGAGAAGCAGGATGGTGGGTTGGAGTTTCAGGAATAAAAGGAAACGTTCTAAGTTGCAAAGTAGTTAAACAACCCGGCAGACGTTACATAAATATGTGTGGAAACAGTGAGTGCGAAAACACACAATGATGAAAAGGCAAAAGAGACAGGCGAGACAGAGGGCCTTGGAATCCCAAAAATGATTTTATTTTGAACCAGAAAGCAACAGCAATGGCGAGAACAGTCCGGGCCGAGGGCATGGCCGCGTGACGCAAGTACCAGGGGTTGCATTTGTCCGGGTGCAAGGAGCGGCCTACAGACAGTCAGCTTGGCATTTCCCAGCTAAGCCAATCACATCCACATCTTCGTGACACCGACCCCCGCTTTCCCATTTACACAGGCTTGGACTGCTTTTCAGATAAGATTCCAGGCTTTGTAAATATTTTTTTTTAAAGTGAAGGTAGCCACAGCCGTGGAGCGTCCCCCTTCTTTTTGCTGTATCAGGCATTGAATCAATTACAGGAGCAGGAAAACATATTTGTGAGAGTTTTGCTTTAAAGGACCCCAGAGAGCAAGTTTCTCCCCCGCGGCACCACTGATATTTTGCTCAGATCATTCTTGGGTGTGTGTGGGGGGCTGGGGGGCTGCGCTGCGCACTGGAGGATGTTGAGCAACACCCCTGGTCTCCACCCACGAGGCGCCAATAACACCCTCTCCCAAGTTGGGGCAACCCAAAATGACTCCAGACACTGCCAAATGGCCCCTCTGTTGAGAAGCACAATTTCAAAACCATCCTCCTGCCCCCATCACCGTGGTCTTTGTCTCCTTTTTCACATTTTGTAAGGGTAGACCAGATCACCAACTGCCCGACACCCAAAGCACAGGTGTGCGAGCATACACGCGTATGTCTCTTCAGGCACCGCATATGGGCCTGGAGCCGAAACTTGGAATCCCCCGTTCACTGGACAGCGCTGCTTCAGTTCCTTGGGAAGTGCAGGGTCAATTATCTCAGTACCGTGATAAACTGCGCATTCGTCATCAGGCCATTTCCTCTTCTCCAGCAGAAATCATCATCAACATTTGCAGTTTTTGAAGTCTTTTTTTTTCTTTCAAGCTGGGAAGAACATCTTCACCCACGCCCATTCTCCTCTTAATCCGTTTGGATTCCTACTTGAATTATATGGCCAGCCGCTTTTGACATTGGATCCAGGTTTTTTCATTTGTATCCACCAGGAAGAGAGGTACCACGTTTCTGGGTTCTGTTATGAGGACTGGCTATAGAATTCTTGAGGCCCAGCGCAAAACGAAGATGCAGGCCCCCTACTCAAAAATTACTAAGAATTTCAAGATGGCGACAGCACCTCTTCACATGCCCACGACGTCAGACCTGGCAGCCTTGGCCGCGTCAATTCGGCTGTATTAATGTAACCGGCCCTGCTATTTCTTTCTCCCCTGTGTCGCAATGCTTCCTGTGAAGTAGGGACCTCGAGAACAAAATACTGTGACCCCAGTCCACTTAAAGAATTGTACTGCAGCAAATGTTTATAGCATATATTTTTTAGACTTTCAAAAAAAAAAAAACAACCCCACACGGAAATCTTTTCTACATCATTACAGTAATGAAAGTAAACACTGTGGCCTTTCACCATATACATATTTTCCCGTAAATAGGACAACATGGAAATAGTAACTGCTACTATCCACAAGGTTTTTAAGTTAGCAAAGAGTGAGACCTCCACAACCAAATTATAACATAATCCCTCTCGTCCTTATAAAAATAGCCAAAACATCAACTAAATGGCTTGCAGTGAAAATTTGAGTAGTAACTTCTTTATATTGAAAAACATTATATTCATGGAAATATTGTCCTCGTAAATGCTTTACATTAATGTCATAAGGCAAACTGTAGCGTTTACTGGTACCTGGCGACCATGATTTTAAAAACTCAGAAGCTGAGTTTTAGACCCTTTTATTCAAAACCTGTTAGTGTACAAAGTGCATTAAAATATCCGTTATCCAGCTACCAAAAACAGTATGTAAAAATTACAACCCTTTCAGTTTGTTCAGGGAAGGCAAATACACATTGTGTTTATACTGTAAAAAAAACAAACATTAAGTTTCCAGAGAATGATTAATTTTTTTCCATTGAGGTGTCCATCTTTTAGATGTGAAATTGTCCTAAGTAGCTATCAAAATATTCATCTGGGTATAAATAATATAGTAAATATATAAACTCTATCTGTTCAGAAAAAGGAGAGCGTCTGCCAGTGGAGACGACAGAAGCACGCATGATGCAGCCCATGGAGTCCAGGCTGGTGCTCAGATGGCACGATGCTGAAACAGCGGGTCTACGGACGGATCTCAGGGAGACAATGGGTTGATTTGGTTAAAAACAGATTGCTAAAAACAATGCCTAAATCCATCAGTCCGTTCAGTCAAAATGGCCAACCCAGTAGCTCAGATAAATATTTTAGCAAATGAAATGACTTCTAGATGTCATGCTCTTTGTCAGGATAGAACCCATGCTGGATTCCCAGTCCAAGTCCAAGGACTGCTTAAGAGAGCCTTACTTCACGGACCATTCCATCTTACCAGATCAGCGGGCCGAGAATCCCACTCGACATTCTATTAGCAGGTTCTATTAATGGGTTCCAGCACGGGAATAGTGAGTTTGATTTTTTGGGGTTTTTTTTTTTGTTGTTGTTGTTTGTTTTGTTCTTTTTTTGTTTTTTTGTTTTTTGTTTTACAACTCTATAGTGAACTATACTAGAATACAGAGGGACCGCTACATCTTTCGAGATGCGTTTAATAAAAGTCTGTTTATAACTTTCGAGGCACGTATACTAGTAAAGAGTACTTTATGCAATGTCCCTTGTCATTACCAACTCATAAATATTAAGTGTTTTTGGGTGGGTCATATTTGGACGTGGTAGAGACAGGCAGGGCCATGTGTTGATGTCCTGGAGAGCAAAGTCAATCCAAAGTGGTGCTGCCATTTCTAACGGAAAATGTTTCCTTCCTCAGCCCCAGCAACAAAAGAAAAATGATTTGGGGGAGAGGGAGATAGGACAGCTATCAAATGTAGCAAAGCAATGTCACAGGCCTGAAGAAACTATTAAAAGGAAGAGAATGAAATAGATTTAGGTCACGAAACAGAACCCTACTTCCGATCAAAGACAAATCAGCCTCTGACGTTCTGAATAATCAGTAGGATTCAAAGTGACTATTTTCAATGGCAAGCTCATTCTTAACGTCAATTCTTAATGTCAATTCTTAAAGTCAATTCTTTCCGCTCTCCCTCTTGCTCTCCGTTCTAGTTGATCCAAGACGGTTTTGACATCACACTGAAAACACTTCACAATAAAGCAGACTAAGAAAGCCCGGTTGCTGCCCTACTAGGTTCAAAACTTTTTTTTTTTTTTAAGGTAACTGCATATTCTGTTATGCACCGTTGAGGCGACAGGACCCAAGATGGGATCAGTATGACACGACGATGTGAGAAGCTGAATGAGCGTACGAAACTACAAAAGATTTGTTTTTCTCAAGCCCACAGCGCGTGATGACACAAAGGTTGTTGTAAAGAGCTGGCAAACTTCTGGGCCTCTTAATGTGCAAAACCAGATCATGTCTAAGAGTTGTAATTCCGGTTATGTTTCTTTCATAAATAATCTATAAATTTTCCTGCAAACACAGGACAAATTTGAAGAAATTATTAAAGCATGTACTTAATACAAAAGACACGAAAAGGGGAGAATCGTCTATGTTGAGTCCTATCCTAGTCAATGTTTCTGGACACTTTTTGGCGACATTTAATCACACTCTGGAAGCCTGTGCTTTCTCTGTCCCTGAAATGGTGGCCACGACCCTTTTATGCCCCAGAAAGCAGCTCCATGTGGCCAGGTGCTCACGGCGCCTGCTCTGTGCAGTCCAGATGGTCTGGGATGGGAAGGCCAGTTATAATGGTCAAGCACTTGTTCCACACTGTGAAGGTGGGGCACACAGGCTGCGAGAAGGTGATGTCGAAGGTGTAGAGGTGGATGGAGTTCAAAGCATCGTAGAAGGCGATGGAACCATTGTCATAGTCCAGCAGGATGCCGACGCGCCGGAGGTGGGGGGCTGGCTCGATGGGGGTTTCCTTGCTGTTGTGTCTCACCACCCAGTTATTGTGACAGCGGCACAGTGCCCAGGAAGCAGAGTTCTTCCCAATCCACTCATGCTTCGGGGCCGATTTGTAAGCAAGGCCGATGGCATACCTGCACAAACAGAACAGTGACAACAAAAACCATGAGGCGGGTTGCACACGGACGCTACCTCCTTCTCTGGTTTTCAGGGGTCACAAAAACGTGGTTTTCTGTTGTCCCTGCTCATTCTTCAGTGAAAGCTTGGCAAAGACCCTGACGCCGGTGTTCCTTATCGCCTTCCTCCCAAACATACAGTGGGCAGACGTGGGCCGTGGTATTTACTCATATTCCTGTTTTTAGTTCAGACGTTACAAGAGAATTTGAACTTTGTGTCTCGCTGCCTTTTGTTTTGTTTTGTTTTGTTTTTACACTCATCAAGACCCACACAATGAATCCTCCAGACCAGCGCTGTCCCACAGAAGTTTCTGCAATGAGCGAAATGTTTTGCCTCCGTTCAATATGGTAGCCACGAGCCACATGTGGCTACTGGGCGTTTGAACTGTGGCTGCCAAGACTGCAGAACCAGACCTTAAATTTAGTTAATTTAAATTAAGTCAAATGATTTAAATTAACTGCATGTGGCCCAGGGCTACCACATTGGACAGCACAACCCTCGACTTCTCCTTCTGGCCTACTTTGAATTTTTCGACTGACCCCACGTCTGTCACTTTCCATGACTTTGAGTACACCTTGCCACAGGTAAGCGTGGAGAATGGTTTTCATTTCCGGGGTAAGTTCCTTGTCCTCTCCTAGCTGGGTTCCTGATCTACAGCACGGGGACAATGCCAGCCTCCATCTCAGAGGGTGATTTTGAGGAGTAAAGGAAAGAATATGTGTAAAATCTGGGGCACAAGGCGTGGCAAGGAATCTCGGGTAACTGCTGTTTTATTGAAGTTGCCCAATGCCACATTACTAATAAGTACCAGAATCAGATCTTGAACCTAGGGTGACTCAAAAGGCCAGAAACTTAACACTCTCTAATCCCTTCCCTCACCAGAAAGTATGTGATTCATCACTGCCAAGAGCCCTTCTGATTATATTTCCTATTACATTTTTAAAAATTCTGAATGTCTTTGAGAGATGGATATCCCGGTTATTGTAAATGTACTCTCAACTGCTCAAAAAAGTTAAGAATTCTTTCTACGATGATCCCAGGGTCCTGGGATCGAGCCCCGCATCGGGCTCCCCGCTCGGCGGGAAGCCTGCTTCTCCCTCTCCCACTCCCCCTGCTTGTGTTCCCTCTCTCGCTGTGTCTCTCTCTGTCAAATAAATAAATAAAATCTTAAAAAAAAAAAAAAAGAGAGAGAGAGAATTCTTTCTATGGTGTTCAAAACTCCTTAATCTCTTTTTACCCTGCTAAGGTATGCCTCCATAACATTTGCAGTATTTCAGTGATTAAGATAAGCAAAACCCATCATTCTTAATAGTCAATGATTCAGAGCTCAACCTTTAATCTGTTATAGCAGAAACCAGTCTAAGTGGATATTGACATATGGTACCTTACCCAGTGCAGGGAGAAAATAACTCCACTGGTCTTTGAGAAAACAACATTCTTTTTAAAAAATAATCCCATGTTGGATTTAAAATACAATCACTTTAAGAGTGGTGTGTTAAGAAAAAAAAAAAAAAAGGACTAGAACACGCTATCACTGAATTAAAAAAGAGGATGGGATTATTGATCCTCAGCTAAGCCTAGTGTACCAGCCTGTCTGCCAACAACTTGGCCTGTCTCCTCCTTCTGGCCAATCCTGCTCTGCATCACGGGGAGAATCCTGGGGTTGCATTTCCCACATTCCTTTCCCAGCGGGAGTCTGGGTCAGGTCCTGACACTGTGACGGCTCTGCACAAGATCCAGAAGTTCTAAGAGGTGGGGAAACACTCTTTTCCAGCCGGCAGCCAGAGAGACACTTTGGAAAGGTTTTTGTTTTGAGAACTGGCCGCCACGATGTTCTCTATGCCCCACAGACACACTATTTCCATTTTTCAGATACTGTGGAACGTGCATTTGCATCACAAAATAGCCAGGTCTACATTGTTTCCTTCTTGTTGCTACGCACCATTCTGATTTTGTATCAAAGGACTCTGGCGTTTATTTCCCATTTGAACCTTAACTGAACCCGCTATGAAGTAGCTGTGGCAGGAAGGACTGACTTCATTTAGCAAATGGGAAAACACAGAGAAGGTTACAATTAGGAGCAGAATCCAGAATCTCGCCCCGTCCCCCTTGACTTCTGGCCCAGTCATCTTTGCGCGAACCCACGTTTAGTTAACACCATTTCATAAAACACCAAGTGCACATTAGCAGCATTAGAGAGTAAGAAAATAACTCCGTGCATAGTCCATTAAGCAAAGGAAAATACCATTATGTTATCATTAATCTGTAAAACTATGTACGTATTTCCATTGAGCTTGAAAGGTGCGGGCAGAAGGTAATGTTCCATTAAGTTACGCAGTGAGACTTGGAGAATTCAGAAAGTATAAAAATTATGTTTCTCAGAGCAATGCTAATATGCCCCATTGCAGGGATCATAACATACATGTTAATTGAAAGTCAGGACGATATTTCACGAGAAAAATGGATGTGTCATTAGCTGGTGCAAATCAAGGCACCACAAGCATTTGATCATACGGGTCACCCCTTCCCCTCTAACACCTCCCAGGAAATGTTAAACTACTTTCTACGCGAGACGTTTTCCGAAACTGACACAATCCGGCGTGTAAAGATCCAAAGTGTGGCAATTAATTTTAGAATTTTTCCCCCCTCCCGAGTTGGTTTTGACATCTGGAGGGTGTTTTCAAGGTAATACCGATCTGTGTTTATATAACTGAAGGGGTCTGGTGGAATTTCCCGCACCATTCATCAATGGGAATGAGATCATAATGATCGGGTATCATTTATCACAAATAATTATTAATGGGGCTGTAATTATTTAGACACTGGATTCTATCCCAGATTAATACTGCACGTTAATTAACTAGAAATGTTTGCTCCTTTGCACCTGCAAAAATTCATCGTATTTTCCTTCGGCCTTTTATCTTGCCCCCATGCTGCTAAAAACTGCAAATGCCAGAGCTGAGCGGGGCGGAAGGATTTGCCCTCCATCCCCTGACTGGATGTTGGAACAGGAAAATGTTCTGGGCCAAGAGAGTTACGAGGATCACAACAGAAGAAAACCTCCTTGCTTGGCCGATATAGGTACCATTCTGGGGAGAAAGGAGACACCCAAGCTTATGATTTCACTTTTTAGATCTCAGCGGACTTGTATCAACACTGTAAGGGACTTAAGACACAAAGTGTTTTAGTGTCCTTATCTCAAACATAACACTGTTATGATACTCCTCGTTTCAGGTTATGCAGTTGGGAAGTGTTTCTTTCTAAGCAAGGATTAAGCTATCGCTCACCAAGTATACCACTGTACGCCCGAAAGAGTAATTATAATGTTTCAAAAACAGAGCATGGTGCTTCAGAGCAGAGATCAGCCAACTGTAACCCATGGGCCGAATCTGGCCCTCTGCTGATTAAAGTTTTATTTGTGCAAGGCCACGCCCAGTCACAGACACATGGTCTGTGGCTGTTTTCCCACTACAACCGGAGAGTTGAGTAGTCGGGATAAAAATCACCTGGCCTGCCAAGCCAGCAACACTGGCTCTCTAGCCCTTTCCAGAAAGGTCTGTGAAGCCTTGGGTCAGAGCTTGCGCCCTGACTGCAGCCTTCCTCACCCTGCCGCCTCCCAGCTTTGCCACCTTGTGCTAATGGGCGTGAGCCTCAGTCATCTCATCTGTAAAGGCGGATCCAACACCTACCTCTGGGGGGCTGTTAAGATGAATGAATGAGTTACCATCTGTAGGATGCTTAGACCAGTGCCTGGCACGTGGTTGTGCTAGACGAGGGCTGGTTAAATAAAAATAAAAGAGCAAAAGCGAACAGGTGTTTGTGAGCCAGCCAGCCGGAGAAGGGGTGCAGTTCGTGGCTGTGGAACAGACAAGGTCAGCTTTGTGAGGTTAACTAGGCAAGGTTAGCTCATTCCAATGTAGACACCGTGTTGGAATGTTCTGGGCCTGACCAACAGCCTTGGGTTTAGAGAGCTCGCTAGGCTAACAGACCGTTTGAAAGGATTCCCAGCCTATGGTCCCTGCCTCAGCCCCTCAGCTCGTGACTATTTCCAGTCGTCAGCCCAGTCTGGAGTCACAAAACATATATATAAGGCCACAGAAATTCGTTCTCTTCAAATGATGAAGAGTAATGTTCTAGAGTAGGAATCGGCAAACATTTTTGGTAAAGGGCGGGAGAGTTACTATTTTCGGCTTTGTGGACCATAGGGTTCTATTTTAACTGCTCAGCTCTGCCGTGCGGCTCAAAGGCAGCCCAGCCACAGACAGACAATGTGGAAAAGAATGGGCATGGCTGTCTTCCTACAACACTTTATTTACAAAAACAGGCACAGGGCCAGGTCTGGCCCGCTGGTTGTCTTCGGCTGACCTGTGTTTTAAGGCACGAAGGAGCAGTGTTAGCATCCTAGCTCTGTTAGGGACCAGGACTCTATCAACTCAGCTGCAATTCTTGCTGTAAATAAAAAAGAAAAAAAAATGGATGGACTTAAAACAAGCTGTTTTTCTTATTGGCTGAATGGAAGATTAGATGATTGTTTTGCAAACATTCACTCCCTCCTCTCGTCTCCGGGGGAGAGATATACTTCCCTAGACCACCGGCTTTGGCTTTGGCTTTGGCTACGTGACTGGCTTTGGTCCATGAGAAGTTAGTAGACAGTGATGGAAGCAGAGGCTTGAAATGTGCCTGCCTAGCTGTGGCTTGTGCTCTCGGGCTCCTTGAGAAACACCTGACCCGGGGAGCCCTCACGTCCGAAGAGGCTGAAGAGACACAAAGAACAGACCTAGGTGCAACCTACAGCTGAAAGCAAACTCGGCCGTGCAACCTACAGCTGAAAGCAAAGCCCGGCCGAGATTAGCCTTGACAGTGAACCCACACATGGGGGTGGTGAGCGAGCAATCATAAATGATTACTGTTTGAAGCCACTGAGTCTCGGGGTGCTTGTTATGCAGCATTACCGTCGCAACAACAGACTAAAAAAGCTTTTCTGCACAGTCTCCTTCAAGATGGGCCCTGGAATGGACTAACGCTCTGACAAAGTACAGAAGGAGATGTGCCTTTTTATGACTGGACGACAACAGGTATCATTGCCTACCATGTGCTCCCACTTATGACCACTTCCCAGTAATGCCGACCGCTATCAATGAACACATTTCCAGCTACGCCATAGCTCCCTTGGCTGGTGAAGCGTTCGGGCGTGTGGCTCTTTTTGGAGGATGACTCATCACGTTCTACTGTCAAGTTATCGTGGGACACCTTCAGCTTTCGATGTGCAGACTTGGGGTCCAGTTTAAATGGCTGGCCTGGGAACAAGTTTACAAAACAAAGAGAGGAAGAAGAGGAGCGTTTAGTTCAACATGACCAATAATGTCTTTGCAGAATCAGATTTTAAAAGCACAGTAAAATAGTGAATACGAACATGCCCCTGCCTTCATGAACTCCCAGCCTGTCAGGTCCGAGACAGGGATCGAGAGCAGCTGCGACTAATCATTCAACAGTAGCATGGGCGGGGATCAGCCAGGACATGTGGTAGAAGCTACCTTCGGGGGTCCCAGCTGGACACATGCAGCTCTGCTACATACTGGCTAAACAGCATTCCCAAGGGAAGGAGAAAACGAACACTTCGTTTTCAACCATTCCCATATTCGATCCAGCTTAAAATGTGGCTCATGCTCAGCAGACTTCAGACCAGAAGCCGAAGAAATCAAGACTGCAGATTTTGACCTAAAGGCTTTACATTATTCTGAAACTGTTGCAAATTAAAATGATTCTCCAGAGCTCAGAATGACTATAAAAATGTGCATTTTTCAGCCCACAACAAGGTCAGGGCAAAAAACGTGATCATAACACCTGGGTTTTCTACTCCTGAGTTTGTAAATATATATATTTCTACTCCTGCGTTTTTATATATATATATATAAAATAAGGCCCTCTCTATTTCATTATTCACATTTGCGCTTTGAAGGTCGAACCATCAGAAAATCTTGGCAGAGTCACCCCTGAACATCTTGTCAGAGCTGTTAGTTCTTTGAGAATGTAACGCTGGTCTGGAGGACTGCCTGTCATTCGACACCACATGGGTGTTAAGAGGCAGGAAGTGAGTTACGAGAGCATGCAAATACCACGATGCCCCAAGCCCCCGCCACGGCCACGGCCACGGCGCAGCTGGTAGGCCCGCCCTCAGGCAGCCAGTGGACAGAGTTCGGTACACTGGCCGGGGCAATGCACGACGCTGGCTGAGGCAGCGGCACGGAGAGCACGGGGCAATGAGTGTGATGTCACGTCCGGGTGGGCCGGAGGATTTCTAGCCGCCACCTGGATACGAACATGACACCGGCGCCTCTGAAATCCTTTCTTTTAGAACAGGGGCCGGCACATCTTTCTCCTAAGAGGCCAGATAGATATTTTCAGCTCTGCTGTGGCAGCGTGGAAGCGGCCCGAGGCGAGAGGGAAACGGATGGGTGTGGCTGTGTGTCAACAAAACTTTATTTATAAAAAGAGGCAGCCAGATTTGGCTGGTGGGCTGGATCGTCTGCTGACCCGTTTTAGATTTCTGTCCACATCACAGGAAAGCTTAAAGAGGGAGTTGAGAAAAAGCTTCAAGTGTGGATCAGGGCACGGACATTCTCAGAGGCTCTAAGAGCTACACTGGATTATGTGCAGAGTTTAAATTTCAGCTTGTCTTGTGAAACACAAATGTCCTCAGCAATGATCACGCCAGCAACTATTAGGGATAAAGTATGAACTAAGGCAAGAAGAGTATGAAGATCAGTTTTGCTTATAATATTTCAATTTTTAAAGGTGGAAGAGAGAATGCATGTGAAAACAAGTGGGACATTAATGGGCAGACCGGGGGCGGGGGTGTTCATAAATGCAGCCATCACTGAAGAGGAGGGCCGTGCACTGCTTGTCTTTCTTCCAGTGAGGAGCATCAGAATGGTATAGCCGTCAGAAAGACTGGCCTCATAAGGAGGTGTGATGTACCCCATCTCGTCTCAACTCACACCCTCACCTACACACGTGTGGAGTACGATCATGTCAGCTTAGGTCAGACCCAACCCCAACCCCTGCATCCTCAGCAAATTCCACCTGTGTGTTTGAGATGTGTTTCTCAAACGCACCATCACCTACTCCGTCCAAGTTCAAGGCTTTTGCTTCAATGAGGACAAATTAGCTCAAGGACCAAATTAATCATTTACTAAAGAATTCAATTCAATTTAATATTGTGCATGTAGGAGTTTGGCAAACTACAGCCTGCAGGCCAAATCCAGCATAGGGCCTGTGTTTGTCAATAAAGTTTTATTGAAACACGGCCATGCCCATTCATTTATGTGGTAATCTATGGCTGCTTTTGCACTGCAATGGCAGAGGTGAAGAAGAGTGGATGGTGACCAAGACCATCTGACACACATAGCCTCAAATATTCACTCTACGGCACACTGCAGAAAAGTTTGCCAACTCCTCGTTTATAACTGTTCAATAACTGCGTGTCTAGAAATAGAAGATGACATTATCTGGCTACATGAAATGAATGCATTATCTGCAGTAAAACTGCAGTGATGAAGCACAAATCAGATGTCTCAAAGACATATTCTACAGAATTAACCTCAGTGTATACATTTACTTATTTTTTTCCTACTTAATCTCTAAAAACATTTCCTTCTTTACCAGCAGAAACATTGAGAGGAGAAATTAGCTTAATGTCTAAGCGTATGTGTCTTAAACATGTATGTCTGGAGTAAAATAAAGTTATTTGGCCACTGAAATTGAGGATTTGGGTTAAGTGTGGGTTCTTCTGCAAAAGCAGTTAACTGTTCCCATTGACTAGAGGCAACTGCCTAACATGGTGCCATATTGACACACTCCCAGTTGCTTTCTCTTGGGAGGTCCTATGCAAAGAAATTCCATGTTATAGAACATATTTCTAGATCAAAAATAGTAAAGAAAAAGAGAGGATAAAAGAAAACACATGTGGGGCGCCTGGGTGGCTCAGTCATTAAGCGTCTGCCTTCGGCTCAGGTCATGATCCCGGGGTCCTGGGATCGAGCCCCGCATCGGGCTCCCTGCTCCGCAGGAAGCCTGCTTCTCCCTCTCCCACTCCCCCTGTTTGTATTCCCTCTCTCGCTGTGTCTCTCTCTGTCAAATAAATGAATAAAATATTAAAAAAAAAAAAACACATGTGGGCAGAGACAGCAAGGGAGACGACAGTGTTACAAGACACATATATGGGCCAGATCTTTCTCTGTTGTGTCCTGTGTAGTGTGGGATGTTTCCCATCATCCCTGGCCTCTAACCATTAGATACCAGTAGCATCCACCCCACTTATAACAACCAAAAATGTCTCCAGACACTGCTCAGTGTCCCTCGGGGTGGGGGCAGTAGGGAGGGCAGAACTGCTTCTGAGAACCACAGACCTAGACAGATATTGGAAGTAAAGCAAAGAATTCCTGAAGAAAGAGTTGGCTATTAATTTGCTCTTCTGCTATGGAAAACAATTTGCCATTTGCAGAGCCCCAACGACCTATCAGGCTTCATATATATCGATCGATCGATCGATCGATCTATCTATCTAATCTGTTCTAATTCTCACAAGAACCCCTCCAGGATTATTTATTTGAAAAGCGAGCAGTCTGAAGTGCAGAGAAGTCGATGGACTCACAGCCCTTAAGGGGCAAGTGAGTCGTGGACCCCGGAGGTGTCTGATGCCAACTCCACCCCACCGCCCTGGCTCTTCACTTGCTTCTCGGGGGCCGCTGGTGATGCCTGAGGCAGAGAAGGAAGAGAAAGGGGGACAGAGGCGGCCCAAAGGAGAGCAGAAGGGAGGCGGCAGCTCTGCTGAGCTCACGGCACTTACTGTTTGTCTTCAACTTCCCAGGCTCACTGCTGCGGCTGCCCGCCTGGTTGATGGCCTTGACGATGAAGATGTACTTGGTGCCACTCTGCAGACCATGGACCGTGTAGTGGTTCTGCTTGATGTTGGGGACAATCATCCAGCTATCGGCAGAGTTACACAGACCTGCAAAGCCAAGCAGACACGGTGCAGTGCTTTGTCACCTCTGTATTTCCGAGGGAGCCCACTAATAAACTCGAGGGCGCAGTCTCCTGCCTACAGTAGGTGATCGGCCTGTATTTATTATCAGATATTCCTACTGTGTGCTCTACATGGAGAAACCCATCAAAATGATTATATCGCAGCCTCTGTTCAGTAACCATACGAGCAGCCAAGCTGGCCCTGCCTGGCGTGTTGTGCGTGGTGCCCGTGCGTGATGCGTTGTGAGGTGCCGTGGCGAGGAGAAGGAAGCAGCGAGTTACCACGGGTTCCACTCTCGGCGCCCCCCCCCACCCCACCCCACGCTCAGGACCGTGATCATTAAATTGGAATCTCATCAATTCTGAGCCTCACAGCCGGTGAGAAGAGACCTGAATCACGTAGAAGTTGCCTCCACGAATATAGATGCAGTAGATTGCTTTTGTGCCTCTAATTCTTCACCCTGCCCCAGACCCAGGCCTAAGTGGCTTTGCAGAGATGGGATGTATTCCCTTGTGACACGGCTTTGAATTTGGCCATGTGATTTGCTCAGGCCGATGGGATGAGGCTGAAGTGGCGGGGCGCAAGCTGCAAGAGTAGGCATTCCAAGGCCTCGAGAATTTCTGTCGACACCTTGGGCCTCTGCCATTGCCAAGGGGAGAACATTCCCCAGACAAGTCTTCTTGTCTCAGCAGGATGAGCGATACAGGGAACACCTCTACTGCCCTGCCCCTGTAGGAGTGAGGCCAGCAGAGACTGGCCCAACTTCTGAGCGGGGAGCTAAGAAAGCGATCATCAGGGTTGTTGGCGTTCCAGCATTAGCGTAGCCACAGTTAACCAACTCAGGAGGCATGTCCCTAGGAGAAGCCCGGAGCAGTGGCACCCACGGGCAGCCCAGGGCCCAGTGTAGCTCCTAGAAAAGCATGAACGGGGATTCGGACCAGCTGCATTCCCTCGCATGGCTGGTTTCAGAGTACAGTGGGGCCGCTGCTCGGGCTGCATTCTGCAGGATGTGGGCTGGGGGGCAGGCTGAGGATTTACGATGCTTGGAAGAACATGCAGGGAAAAGGAAGCCCGTTTTGTTTTGCAGCTCGCTGATGCTGAAAACATCTCTTTGGTATTGGGCCCAGCTCTCCTCTCTCCACCCATCAATCTCCACTCTAAAGAGAACCTCTTCCCAGCCCCCTGGTGACTAGCTGTCATGAAGTTTCCTGACTCTGGTGAATTTCCTTCACCAGTTCTTGGTAGAGGGCTGAGCCCCTCCACTTCCTGAGGGGCTCCAAGCCCCCCCACCCTTTCCCTTTCAATGGATTTGCAAGTCAAAGAGTTAGTTCTTTTGATCTTGAGGCAACTTATACCTTACTGCAATCCCAAGAAGCAGTCCCTTAATCTCTCTTTGGTCTCACCTCTTTGAGAATCTAATAAAACATTTCTATAGAAGGAAAGTCACATGTGCAGAACCATACCAAGCCACAAATATTTGCATGGCATTCCAAGATATTCACAGCCCCGTGACATCTGTCTTTGAATCCTACTAAATACTTTCTCCAACTTTTGAGTTAGACATTGTTCATGCTAGTCTCACAGTTGAGAAGAACCTTAGAGGTATTCTGTCAAGTATGAAACTTCACCTCATACGATCAGTACCTTGGGTGCAGACCACTGTAGTCATATACATATATAAACTCACAAGGTCAGATCTGACCCCGTGAGTTCTCTATCACCTCTTTTCATCTCCACCTGCGAACATTTCACCAGCAGCACCGCCAGATTTGATAAAACCAGCATAAAGCAAGGGAATGATGGGAGGCCCAGAGAAGGGGTTGAATGTGTGCGTGCGCTCAACTGAGGCACCATTCACCCCCACTCCCACCCCACCCCCAATTTCCCCCAACTCTTAGCCCTCTGTTCTCCCACTGATTCTCACTCGTGTAAGACCCAGGAAAACACCCCCAGTGGTTCAGTAACACGGGACTCTCCTTACTACATTTCCCTTTTGCTACTTTCTCACCTCACCTTTTCTTGAATATGCTCAATGCTTCTGGATAGTGCCACAGCCAATCACAGATTTAGATCCGACCAAAGAAGGATCATTTTGAATTCTGAGCTCTGGGCCCCAAGAAGCCTGTGACTCACTTTAGATATTTAATCGTGATCTTACAACAGTAATAAAACAAAAACAATGAGCTTTTCTATTGCCTAGGATAATCCTAGGCAATCCTAGACCTTTGTCAACAGCAGTCAAGCACGAACGAAAACAGTAATGGCATTCAGTAGACTCAAATGAGAATCCTATCAATGTCACTGCATTTACACTGTTCCTGTTTAATTGCATATGTTACAGGAAAATGACTATTGTGGTCAAAGAAAGCAAATGTAAAAATGTTTCAATAAACTTTACATCACTGTACAACCGAAAAGCTGGGCTTCATGTGGTGGGGGAATGCTTTCAGCTACATCATCAAACAGATGTCTGAAATTGCTACGAACAGCAACTTGGCCTATAATCCAAAGCCTTAACCTAACAAAAAAGATTTAATGTTTCAGAACACTTTTCCAAACAGAATAGGGACACTGAGCATCCTGATTATTTTGAAGAGGTTGCTAATTTTTTTTCCCTCGAATATTAAAAGAACAAAAATGTTTATGGAGTAGTAAAATTTGATTGGATAGCTTTACACTGGGACAACCTGCTCTCGCGAACGCTCACGATTTCTGTGGCGGCTTACCTTTCTGTTATTATTATTGCCAGGATAGTAATTGAGAAGTTGATTAAAAATGCCAAGAAAGCAACATCGACCATTTTCTCCTGTGGGCTGGAGTAAGGGGGGTGCCTCCGAGCACACCGTTACTGCGTTGTTAGTGTTGGTCCTGGGCCAACACCACATAACGTCTTGCATACGGTGCCAAGTGCCAGACCTGTCTGCCTCGATACCCCACTGTGTCGGGGCCGTTGACCAGGTTTTATGCATCTCTTTATGAAACACCCATGTAACCATCCTGCACTGAAACTTCACTTTTCTCCAAACTCGTTTTCAATCATCTTTGAGGGTATTCCGACATCCACCTTCTCTAATTCAGCTTCGAGTATTAAAACAACAATGGAACTTGGGAGATAATTAGTTCATAATGAAACTTAATTGAGTTTTTCAATTTTATATATCTTGTTCTCATTCACAATGGGTCAGAAGCATCTCCCTACATAATGCTGCTCATTACAAGATCCTAATTACATTTGGGATTTCAGAGCCTTGTATAGCAACTGTCATCTTGCAGTAAAACATTAGGTATAAAACATTACGCAACACGGACACCCTTCAGAGAGGCGGCACGCAGCTTCAAACATCCTTTGTTTCTTCTACCAGATCGGACAGAAGTGAACATTCTTTTCTTTCTTCTCTGTAAAAATAGTATCTGTTTAATAACGCTCATGAATGTTTTCAAAACGACTAAAATTAATTAAATACAGATAACTACCTCGCCATGGAGACCTGGAGAAATGCATCTTTGGACTTTTGCTAATAATAAAAATAGGCTGCTGGGAAAAGGCCCCATGTAGGATTTTATTTATTTTATTTATTTATTTATTTATTTATTTATTTATTTATTTTTTAAAAGACTTTTGTTTATTTATTTGACAGAGAGAGACACACAGAGAGAGGGAACACAAGCAGGGGGAGTGGTAGAGGGAGAAGCAGGCTTCCCGCCGAGCAGGGAGCCCAATGTGGGGCTCGATCCCAGGACCCTGGGATCATGACCTGAGCCGAAGGCAAACCCTTAATGACTGAGCCACCCAGGCGCCCCCCCATGTAGGATTTTAAATGGTGCACTGGAAGTGGTTTCGGAAAAAAACATGAGAAACGTTGTAAAATTAAATACATATCTACTTATTAATAAGCAATTCGTTAACATCTGTAGGCTTAAGTCTCTTAATAAAAATGCATAATAAAAAATTAATAGTGTCATTAATTTTGCATTTGAATATATGAATTTGATTAGGGAGAGCCTTTTTATAAGATTAAAAGCTTCACAGATATTATCTAATTCTCCTTCACTGAAGTCAGTTGTGGGCAATTAATGAGAATTTATTATGACAAGTGAAGGAACCATGACCTACAGGCAGTCCAAGACTCCTAGTGGCGCGAGGAGCTATGGCCAGTTTTGGGGCATTTTGTCTTCTAATTTTCGGTACAGTTTTACTATTAGCTCTTGTCATTCAATGTAACAACAACCAAAAAGGATACTCCTCCAAATGGTAGGACAGATGGACAAACAACATTCAGGGAAGGCCTTGCACATGAAGATCGTGTGAAATGCCATCATGTAGATAATCCTGGCTAATTTCACGACTGATCTTTATCCTATGACCCAAAACATCAGCTTTTAAAAAAATGCAATGGCGGGTGAGTGTAGCCGTATTTTTGTAGGAATCGTAACTTTGAATACCTCCGTGCTCACACTGTGGCAAGCACAGGGCTCAGACCTGTAATTTTATTATCTCAACCACGGGAAGTTAAAACATTACCTCTTCTTACAGATGAGGAAACAGATTCAGAGGTTGTTAAATAATTTGCCCCAAATTATGGAGCCGGTGAGGTCCCCAGTTGGGATTCAAATCCAGGTCTCTCTTGGCCAGTAGAAATGTATATAATAGTTAAGAAGAACTCTTGCCTTTTTATCTACATTTATTCTTTCATTGTTACGATTTGATCCTGTAGGCCTCAGGACTTCACTCTACTGGTTTAATGGACGTCAAAGAGACAAAGAGCTCTCTGTACTAACAAGCTGATGAGAGGACCCCAGTTGGATGGGCACCTGCAGTTTCCCTGACTTCCATCGGTCCTGGGAGGAATGGCCTTTCTGACATCTGTCCACCAAATAAGCAAGGTCTGTCGTCTTCATGAAGTCGATCCCCTTTATTTTCTTGTGGCAACTGCTTTCGGGGAACAAAACACCGTCTCTGGAATCACCGAGCACAGAGCTCTGAATTCAGTGGTGTCGCTGCTGGTGGATGTCTGTAGGCATGGCCTTTTCTCGTCTATTCCACTTAGATGTCTTGTTTTGGTATTATTTTTCATGCCAACCACATGGAAGCCAAGTCAGTCCCAGAGAAACCCTAAGCTTCAGGCAATAGATCTCTTCTTTCCATTTGGGGGATGGAGGGAAGCACCAGGATCGAGTCAGGGTTCTAGAGCGTATCGCCTTCTGGCTCCACGTCCTCGCTCCTCACGTTTCCATACCCTTTGCCATGGAACCTCGCAGGCCCTCTGACTCTGGGCTCACCTGTGGGACTTGCTCTGGCCTCTGGCACATCAGCTAACGTGACAAAGACAGGGGCTTGCGAAGCACTTGTGCAAGTGGGCCTGTCCTTATAGCCGCGGGCTGCGCTCACCAGGAGAACGTGCCTGCGTGGGACCACAGCGGGGAGCCGTGCGGCGGCCGGCAGCCCCAGTCCGCAGCCTGACCGTGACGGAGCCTCACCAAGGTCAGCCTGATTCCAGACACACAGGCAATACATGTTTATTGTTATATGCTACTGAAGTTCTGTGGCTGTTGGCCTATCAGCCAACGCCAACTGATACAGGGCCTGCCAGGCCAGGCCAAAGCTCTACGTACTGTCCAAATGCCCACAAAAATTCGCTTCAAGACACTTCAGGAAAGACATAACCATCTATGGTGGACACGCCCCGGGGTAGCCCCCATGATTCTCACTCCATACTATTCATGACTTCGTGTAATTCGCCCTCCTTGAGTGTGGGCAAGACCTGTGACCTGCTTCTAACCAACAGAGTATGGCAAAGGACAAAAGTCCTATCACCATTATCACTCCTTGGTGGTACATCATATGGCAAAGGTGAAGGGAGTCTGTAAATGTACTTAAGGTCCCTGACCAGTTGTTTCTGAGTTAATCAAAAGGGAGACCGTTCTGGGTGAAAAAAGCAAGGTAAAGAACTGTGTTTGGCCTGCTACCTTTTGTGTCCCTAAAAAACGTATTCCTAGGTGTGTGAGAGTGTATGTGCACCCTTGGGTATTAACAGACTACCACAGGAGAGATGCGTGTGGAATGGAGTTGGTGCAGTGGGTAACTTTGGAACCAGGGTGGCTGCCATATTGAAAAACATCCAAGTGTCACTGTAGACATTTTATATATTATTACACAGTGTTTGTGCATTACTTACTAAAAGGACAGATTTTTAGGGAAGTTAGTATTTCTTCCTGATTTGTAGCGGGGCATGTAGAACTAGGGATGAGGAGCAATACCAGAAGAATCCAAAATCCTGAAAGGAGAGCAAAATGATGCCAAACCATTGATATACCAGTGCTGCTTAGACTTGCCCCCGAAAGCACTTCAAATAGCTGAAGATAGTAAGGGTGTTTCCCGGGGGTATGGGCCAGAGGACAAGTCTTTCTGGAATTATCTTCTTGCCTTCTTTGGTGCCACTGCCATTGGTAGGTCCCGGCCATCTCTGCCTTCTCGAATTACTACGAACCTCCAAGTTCATGTCTCCGCTTTTAGTTTTGCCCTGTTCCACTCCATCCTCCACGGCACTGCCTGAGGGGGCTTCTAACCATATATCTGATCGCACTGCTGCTCTGTGTGACACCCAAGCCCATAGGGAAAAATCCCGCACCGTGTGGCCCGTGTGGCCCTCGGTGGTCTAGGTCTTTACTGTGGGTTAGGATTAAGAGACCGATGATTAAGAACATGTGCTTTCTGGAACCAGACCTATATGGGTTTGAGTCCTGATTCTATTTCTCTGTCTTCATTTCCCACCGTCTCCCCGTCCCCACTCAGTTCTCCAGCCAGGCTTGAGTAGACGATGTCTCAGAAAATGCCTTGCCATTCTCTGTCTCCACAGGTTTGCCCCCGAGGATGTGGCTGCCTGGCATTCCCTTAACTTGCTGATATGTACCCACCCTCTTTCGAAACTTAGTTAAACCATCACTTCCCCCCAAGACATTTTTGTTACACCCACCACGTCTGCCCTCTTACTCCGGCAGCTGGCCATCTTGTGATTTTTTTTTCCCCCTTACACATTCCTGGAAAATGGGAAGATTTTAATAACAGCTTCCAAGGCAGGCCAATTAGAGAATGGAAGGTCAGAGGGTCGAGGAGGGAAGCCTGGTCCAGTTGTTGGTATGAGCCAGCGACACTTTAGTTACTCGGAGGCGGGGGTCTTCACATATCACTCTTTTAATTAATCCTAAATCTAATTTCTTTTTTAAGCATCACGTGCCTCAGAACTACTTGTGCTAGGAAAGAACAGTGTGGTTAAAGGAGAAGAGGTGTATATAATAAAAGCACATTCAGTCGATATGGGTTTATTCAAAACATTTCTTTGTTGAAAAGTGACTGCTCTTCTCTTCTACTTTGACATGTTCTATTTTAATTTGCTAAAGAAGCTTCAAACTTGCTCCCCCGAAAAGCCACTTCTTCTGGTCCTTTCCCATTTGCTCAACTCAATTTGAATAACTGTGGGGGTAGGGAGGAGAGATTCCTTTGTTATCACCTCTCTGGCCAGCAACTGGGGCTGAGATCATCAAATTGTCTCTGATACCAATTATCTCATGGGCTCGGGCCCCAGTTAGAGAAGGGCCTCTCTATGTTTCAAGTCAGGTCTGAAATTCTTCCCAGGTGGGGGCCAATGACTAACATTTCAAATGACGGGCCTGCTCTCCTCCAAATGGGATGTGGTATTTGGCATTGCTTGGCTATCCATTTTATTAAATTCTTTGTTTACATTGTGAAGTAACACTCAGAAAAGTAGTTAATATTAAATGTATGATATCATGACTAAACCATGCACCTCCCACCCAGAAAGTAGTTAACCCCATGACCCCCCATGTGTTGCTTCCCAATGGTGCCACTCCCTTCCCATCCCGGAAGCAACCATCATCTTTGCTTTTATTTGTAGTTTTTACACCTATGTATGCATCTCTAAACAAAACAGTTTCTTTTCTTAAGATTTATCTATTTGAGAGAGAGAGAGCACACATGTGCATGTGCGAGTGGGCGGGGAGGGACAGAGGAAGAAAGAATCTCAAGCAGACTCTCCGCTGAGAGTGGAGCTCGATGCAGGGCTCTATCATGACCTGAGCCGAAATCAAGAGTCGGACACTTCACCGACTGAGCCACCCAGGTGACCCACAAAATAGTTTTCTTTTTTATCTTTAAATTATGACTGTATAAACAGATTCATGCATGTATTCTTTTGTTTCCTGCTTCTTTCTCTTAACCATATGTTTGTAAGACTCATCCGTGTGGTTTGCTAGAGATGACTAATGTTCACCACTCTTTGGCTCGCTATTTTTGCTAGTACAGTACACGTGAACGCTATCATCTTCTTGGTTAGGAAATGCAGCCAATACAGTGTATTCCTTCCTTCCTCGTCTTCCCTTGACGCTTCAATTTAGAAATGCAATCTAACTGAAAACAGTCACCAAACAGAGGAATCGATACGGGGTGCAATACTCACTAACAACGTTGGCTTGTCCGGTGAATATGGTGTACTGGAGCTCATAGGAAACCACACTGAACTCATCATCGGAGGTCCAATGAACGGTGATGGTGTCATAGGAAGCAGTGCAGAGCTCTTCTCTAATTGTGGGAGGGTTGGGAGCTGTGGGGATCAAGAATGCTCATCAGCAAAGAGGCAGGCACCTCCGGGACACAGTTCAGAGGAGATGTGTGACAGTCACAGCAGGCCTTTCTACACAGGTCCATCAGGACCACTATCCATCCCAGAGGTGGTGACCCCAATCCAAAGAATGAACGTTTGGTTGGCTGGTTGCCGCTGTGATTGTAACAGGTAGCGTGACTTAGCCAGCCAGTAGGGACTTATCTCTATTTCACATGAAAGTACGTTTAGGAGGTTAAGCAAATAATACTCTTATCCATGAAAAAAAAATATTAAACAAAAAACAAACAAGATGAACTTCTGTGATTTCATCCACACTGGGGAGATGGCAAAGGGCTAGGTGGTAAATATTTTAGGCTCTGAGGGCCATATGGTCTCTGTTGTACCTACTCAACTCTGCTGCTGAACTATGAAGTTAGCCATGGGCAATTCATACTCAAATGGACGTGGGCAGCTTCCAGTAAAACTTTATTTACAAAACCGGTGAGGGCTAGATTTGGCCTACGAGCCAAAGTTTGCCAACCTCGGAGCTTTGTGAGGTCACCTATTTTTATATTTATATACCCAACTGGAAAAATACCAATGTTTGTTATCCTATAACAAACCAGTCAAATAGTTGTTTGAAAATTTTCTTTCATTAGATGTTTTGATGACTTATTTAAAAAAAAACACCAAAAAACCCTGGGGCGCCTGGGTGGCTCAGTCCATGATCCCGGGGTCCTGGGATCAAGCCCTGCATCAGGCTCCCTGCTCAGTGGGGAGCCTGCTTCTCCCTCTGCCACTCCCCCCGCTTCTGTTCCCTCTCTCGCTGTGTCTCTCACTCTGTGTCAAATAAATAAAGAAAATCTTAAAAAAAAAACCCACTTTATTAGTGTGGCCCCATTTTCTTCTCTCTTTTTTCAATTTATAGGTGATATTTCAAATTAAGAAGAACATGATTAACAATCAATCATATCTAAGAAGTACATTTTCCTTCCCCAAAGAAAACATAGTTCCTTGGCATTTGGTTAACTTCATCACTGCAGAAGGTTGCTGTTTTATGTCTTGAACACAGTCTGGAGCAGAGAAGCCTAAATCCTACCAAAATAATGATTGAAGTTGACTCAAAATCTACCGGCTTGATTTCCGTAACTGGTTTAATGAGAAGAGTTTGTGAGCAAGAAAAAAACTAGGCAGTGAGTGCTCTGCACCGGCAACAGTATTTCAGAGCAGGGGTTGGCAAACTATGGCTATGGGCCAAATCTGGCCCACTGCCTGTTTTTGTAAATAAAGTTTTATTGGAACACAGCCAGGCTCATTCATTTATGTATTGTCTGTGGCTGCTTTTGTGCACTAGCAGGGTTGAGTAGTTGGGACCATATGTCCTGCAAAGCCTAAAATATTTACCATCTGGCCCTTTATAGTCAAAGTTTGCCAACCCCTGGTTTAGAGAATCGATCCGGGCCTTTATTGCCACTCTTCTGTATATGAGAACCTAACTTCAAAAGGAGAAACATATCTGCATTCTACAGATTTGTAGCAAACTCTGTTCACACTATTGCAGAGTTCTTTCCTGCTCTTAACTTGGATGAGGACTGAGGAGTCCTAAACAAACCCAAAGAAGGAGATGAGTTTATAAATATGGTAAACTGAAAACTCGAACTGTTTTAGGCTTCTTCATTTTGTCCGCTGAAGAGATGTCCAGGACAAATACCGTACACAGCAAGTAACTTTTATGTTTGTATAAAGTCAATTAGACCAGCTTTGTTTCTCGCTTACTGAATTCCACGCGCATTACTGCACGCCTATACGTGTGGGCAGGCACCGCATTAAGTCATGTATTAAGATAGAAGGGCTCTATAGAGCCCCTAAAGCGTTCTTTCCGGACTATGTATTTATACATCTGTCTCCTGAAGTATCCACATGCAAGATTTAGTGTCATGTGCTGTGACTTGGATGTGCATGAATCAGCGACACCAAGCCAGAGATGCATTCTGCGGGGGAGGCCCAGCTGCACCATAAAATGTCCTTATGATTGTCTGTGTGGTCCCTGTTGGTGCGTGATCACCCGGCAGGGAGCGGTGGAGAAATGCTTATTCTCCCATAATCTAAGCAGTCCATTGAATTACTTTTCCATCAGCCACTGTAGAAAGATTTCGTCCTTTCTGCATTGCAATACAGGATTAAAGAGAAAGCAAACTTATGTTCAAAATAAGCCAGTAGCTGTGAGACACATGGCAGTAGCTGCGATCGGGGAGGAAATGTCACCTCTCTGGGTTATTAACTTGACATACCACTTAGAGGCATGTCACGGGGAGAAAAAAAAAAAAATCTTGTTTTCACAGCCATGCAGGCTAACCCTGTTTTGATTATAAGCCCAATGGGTTTGTCCTGAAAAGTCAATACCCAATTTACCGTAAATGAGAGAATAGCAGCATGCTGCCAATTTCAATATTCGTGGGATTGGTAGCAGAACTGTTATTTTCTTGCCTCTGTCATAAACAGGACACGAGAAACGGTGGGCTAATACTCCACAAACACTTCATTTCCTGCTTACAAATGTCTGATAAACTATTTGGACTTAGCAATATCAGCCAAGCATCGTATGTTATGGCCAGGATCGATGTTATGTCTAGAAATGGGCCAGATTCGTATTTGAGGTTTGAAGTTCAGAAGGCAGAATGGCAGGTACCCCATGTGGTCTCAAGCTTGCCATAAACAACCATCGGGATGATATATGACGCACACGGTCCTAGTCAGTGCGAGCTACTTTCACACCTTCCCCTCTAATCACTGCCTTGGCATTCGCATGCAGACATAGCCCGTGAATGTGTGCCCACCGGAACACCATCAGACGATTCTTGGGAAATGGGGAGGACACACTCAGGTCAACGAGACACTGATTTTGTGCAGAAAGGTCATGGGCCCGGCCCAACAGTCTTTCAGTCCTCTCTGTCCTTGGGCATGACCTTGTGACGCAGATCTGGCCCATGAGACACAAGTGGGAATTTGCCAGATGGGTCTCCTGAGCAAGCTTTTTGTTTTCCTAATAAACAAAGACAGATTTTTGTCCCCGTTTCCCCTGCGTCCCTCCCTTTTTACCTGTGACTTGAGCACGATGCACGGAGGTGGGGCAGCTGTGCTGTGAGCATGTGGCAAAAAGGCAACACAGCAAAGGTGGCAGAAGAGACAAAGAGCAACAGCCTGGGGTCTGAGGTCCTCACTGAGCCGCTGCCCCGGCCTGGAGCTCATACCTCCGTGCTTGGGTTTGCGTGATACAAACACCCCTTGATGCGTTTAGACACTGCTAACTGGATTTTCTGTTGTTGCAATCATACTCAATCCCAAATGATGTAAGAGGGAAAAAAAAAAAGATTTTTCATAGGATGCCATCATGAAAACCAGCTCAACCAGAGAAAGTCTAGACCTGCACTGTCTCATAGAGTAGCCGCAAGCTTTTTACATTTCAATTAAGTTGAATTAAAGTCAAATAAAAGTAAAGACTCACTATGTACATTTCAAGTTTTTGATAGCCCCATGTGGTCAGCAGTGTAGATACATAATGGACAGTGTAGATACAGAATGTTTCTATCACTGTAGAAGGTTCTAGGGGGTAGTGTTAGTTTAGACAGACTCCGGAGTTAAAGCTTAAAAAAGGAGGGCAGTAAATTAATAACTATTTGAAACCAAGTTTGGTTCCTTACTGCAAGTGCATTTTGGAGTCAACTTCTTTCTTCCTTAATAGGAGTGGTACGGTTTGAAAGAATGATGTAAGAGAAGTTTGTGGGATGACTGCTTCCCTTGCAAATACAGAAAGGCTAAAAACAGCACCTCGGCTTCTTGCAAAGAAAAAACCTATCTGGGTATCATGCCCCTTGGATACAAAGCTCCTCGCTTCTGAGCCACAGACTGAAAAAACAAACATCTCACAATGTTCCCTTTCTCCTGCTCCATCTTTTCCAACCACGCACACACGGAACTGGAGTGGGGAAGCTGATGCCACGCTAAGTTAGGGATGTGGTCTCTCGAAGGCTGCATGTCCTTGGTTTGGTGCACATCTGGCACCCTCCTGAAGTCATAGGCACCGGTGGCTTTGGCTAACACAAATAAAGGTCATCTAAACAGTCCACATTCTACCAGTGAATGATTTCAATTCTCATTCTCGAGGTTGACAGCAAAGAAAAATTTGGATGGTTGGGAACAGGAGTAGCCAGAGGTTTTCTTTTATTGAGGTTCCTTTTGTTTTGTAAGCTTGACCAAAAAAAAAAAAAAAAAAGCCTATCAGAAACATGGCACCAGGAATTCACATGTGATTTTTGGGACGTTTGCCATGGTGACCTTTTGCCAAGATGAAATGACGTCTTTTACCAGAAAGAGCAAGAGGTCTTTGGAGTCCGTACGGACCCAAGCCAAATCCTAATTCTGCCACTCGCTAGCTACCTGACCTCCAGCAAGATGGGTGACCTCCGTCATCTGCAAAATGAGGATTATAACATGCTACCTCGGTTTGATGGTGTGAAGATTATACAAGGTCTCGGATACAAGGAGCTGAAGCAGAGTAGACACCCAATCAAGAGTTAGCTGCCAGTTTTTTCTCTGCCAGGGCACTGTGAGAGTCAGATGCCTTGCCGAGATGAAGTGGACAACAGCCACGCTACTTTGTGTATCTCTTTGATGGCCAGCAGAGAGAAAATGGTGAGAAGTATGTTTTCAATTATCGAGAGTCTCCCTTTTCCTCTGTCCCCAATTTGGTCTCAGACCGTGTCGTTTTGGGTGGGAAAAAAAAAAGTGTGCCAGAAATCATTTATGGGAATACTAGACTCTGTTCCTAAATCAGGAGCCCACACCTCTGGTTTTTAGGGAACCGACGTGGTGGCAAAGTATGCGTATCACTGAATGTACACAATATTAAAGCGCACGCACACGCGCACGCGCGCACACACACACACAAGACAATACCTGTAAGGTAATCCAGACATTCTAGCAATTTCTTCTCTCGGGAAAAATCTAAGGCAAAGGTGTCAAATGTGTCATTGAGGTTGATTTCAGGAATTAGGACCTGGGATGATGCAGTTGCCATGGAGACTCTGTAATTTAAACAAAACAACTTTTTAGAAATGTCAAGATGCCTTTCACCATTGCCGCCTAGGAATGAAAAAAAATAAAAAGAAATCAAGTATCATTTTAAAATAGTGCTGTTTTTCCACGGGAGCCTCAAAAAGAACCTGGGAATAGCACAACACAGCAACACAATGCAAATGAATGCAAGCTTAAAGACAAGGCAAAGGAATTGGGGAAACAGTAGAATGGCTGCCCCCCCCCTTCCTTTTTACTATCGGAAAAAAATTCCCCACGGAGGTGAAAGAATATTCATATTTCATGTTGCTGTGTATTTAACAGCCTGGCCCCTTCACATCTAACCCCAGCGAGAAGCACATAGCTCTAGGCATTTCTTCACACATCTGTCTGGGAAACTGTTCCTTTTAGACTCGACCCTGCTCCACTTCAAAGAGGAGTCTCCAAAATTTCAAACTGCATAAAAGGCAAAGTGAAGATTTAAAAAGAATGTTTCCAGATATTGGATTAGTTTAATCAATTATTAGCCTCTTTCTAAAGTAAACATTAAAAAAAGGAGTTTTTGTCTGGCTCGTTTCGTTCTCCTTGTATTCATTTTTTTTTTTTTTTTTTGCACCATATTCCCAGCAGATGCCATGGAAAATATTCATGAGCTTTCTCACAAATTCCTCCAATGGATGCACCATTTTCCCTCTTCATTTACAGTTGCAAGTTAAGATTTCTCATTTAAAAACTATAAAGCAACGTATTGGTAAATATGACTCTCCTGCTATGAGACAATCTCCTGCTACGTGTGTGTTAAGCTCAAGTTGATTTGCAAAGTTCAGTTCCTAATAGCAGAATTAAAACTAATTAAAATTAAGACTAATTAAAAAATGCAAGCGATCCTCTTAAAAACGATACAATTGTGGCATGACATAAACCATGTCTGAGCATATCAGACTATGCTAGACCCGTAATCTTGTTGATCTGGGTATCTCACAAAGTTCGGTAAACACCACCAAGGACCGACTATGTGTAGGGTACTGTGTAGGGTGCTGGGAATTTGTGAGAAAAGCAACACTCTGAAATGGTTCAGCTCTAAATCTAGCTATTTTCTTTTTTTTTAAAATATTTTATTTATTTATTTATTTATTTATTTATTTATTTGAGAGAGAGAGAGAGAGAGAAACAGCATGAGAGGGAAGAGGGTCTGAGGGAGAAGCAGGCTCCCCGCTGAGCCGAGAGCCCGACGTGGGACTCGATCCCAGGACTCTGGGATCATGACCTGAGCCAAAGGCAGTCGCTTAACCCACTGAGCCACCCAGGCGCCCAAATCTAGCTATTTTCTAATTAAGAGTATTGATGCTCATTTATACAAAGTCACAAAGCTAGCTGGCAGCTAGGTCTATACTCTTCCATTTAAACTAGAAAAATTTCAACCTGGTTACCTAAGGAGATGTATCTCCTTTTGTGTCTCTTAACGGCTCTTAAAACTTTGTATTTTTTTTTTTTTTTAAAGATTTTATTTATTTATTTGAGAGGGAGAGAATGAGAGATAGAGAGCACGAGAGGGAAGAGGGTCAGAGGGAGAAGCAGACTCCCTGCTGAGCAGGAAG